TACTAAAGGCACGTCAGAGAGGCGACGAGTAGGCAGAACAGCCTGTATGCATGAATGGATAATCATTCATCGTTTCTAAGCCGGAGTTGACCCTGAAATTGAGCGCCACATCACTGCCGTGTTTTACGAACTCTACGGCAGGGATTTTTCGTTTAACAACCAGTCGGCGTCGGGGCTGACACAGAAGACACCAAACCGCCATGTGCTTAGATTTCGACACGGAAACTTGCGCTATGGCGATTGAAATAGTTGTGGGTGTGACTTCACTCTTTACACTGCTGCAGTGCGCGCGTATGATTGGCTTCCATTTCAATTGAGATCTCAACATTCAACATAAAATGCCGCGTGAGGCACTATAAATTGCCGGTCAAAAAAAGAAAGACCAAGATGGCCAGCTCCACAGCAACAAGTCTTTGATGAAACAGCACACAGAAGGAAACACAAGCACATACACATAAAGTACGCAGACACAAGCGCTGCACTGCAACTGATGGTTTATTCTCGAATGAAGCAGCTTGCGTACAAGAAGGAACATGCCCATGCGCACTGACCAGCGGCGACAAAGATGAAGACTATAATAATATAATAATAATAATAATAATAATAATATAATAATAATAATAATAATAATAATAATAATAAATAATAATAATAATAATAATAATATAATAATAATAATAATAATAATAATAATAATAATAATTATCTAAAACACGTATGATCTTCACCTTGACCACTGTTGCGGTAGTTTGATAGTTGTTTTTCTTTAACATAAATAGAAAAAACAATACCCTATAAATGCCTATACGACCCGTAAACTTGCATTTAGCGTCAAATCGTCACTGAGCTACAGTGGTCCCTTGGCGTACATTATGTAATCACTTGAAGGTCCGACCAATTACAGAACGAAATACGATGCGTCAATAGCCACTACCAACATAATAATATGTCGTTTTTTTTTCTTTTCCTATGAACGTTGTGCCCTGCGTGCATATTTACCACGACTGCTTTAAAGAATCGGTGCGCGAGCCAGTTGGCTACGGCGAACTTGCCCCTTCAGTCCTTGAGAGTTTGCAGATAGGCTGCGATACGATTCGGAAACATTGAGAGATGCTGACGCTTGTGAATACGAGACGACGCTCTCGCCTAGTGTTACACGGGCGTCTGGGTTGTAGCCAGTGCGCATGCGCAGCAGTACACCACTCACAACTCACGTGGCCACGCGCAACAGCGCTGCGCCATGAGGACTGTACGAATATTCCCAATTTCAACGAAAATCGAATGGCACTTTGCTTTGCTCGAATCTAGTACGTTTAATGGTACTAGATTCAAGAAATCACGATTCTAAATTAACAGAGACTTCTTTTCCTGAAATATTTCAGGCACGACACCACTGAAGGGGCGTTAGCACAAATTTTTTAGGGGTTGGGGGGGGGGGGGCACTAAGCAAGGCCGGGCAGGCAGTCGAGTGGGGGGGGGGGGGATATACAGGTTCGGTGTACCATCAACCATCATCCACTGCGCTGAGTGCACAAGAAAAGAGAGTGAAGATGACAGTGGGAAAATTTTGGAAGAACTCTGCCGAAATGGCACTGCAGTTGCAGCGAATGCAGGGGTGCCTGTTCCTGGGCGCACCCGGGACATTCGTAAAGGCGCGTTTACGCTAGAGAGGCACGACACTAGAGCTTTTGAGCAAGCTACGGAAACACGTTACGGAAAGGCGGTAACACGGAACCGGCTAACGAGTGCGCATGCGCGACCATTGTACGCGCATACGGAAATGAACCGTGTCGTATTTTCGTAACGTGTTTTCGTAGCTTGCTAAAAACCTCTACTGACGTGACCCCGACGAAAACGCGATGCAGGCGCAAACCATCGGCCGACGAGTCGCCCGCCGATGAAATCATCAGACCCTATTGTCCTACTATAGGCCGAGGACGACGACGACGCCTCAAAAGACAGCATTTTATCGTAGTGTAACATGATGAGAGACCGAAAACACCAGCAAAACACTTTCGCAGACCAGTCATCGGCGTGATCGACGGCCGAGCAAAAACTTGCCCCATGTCTTTGCTTCAAACGACCACGAAGCAGGCAATATTGGGGGAGTTAACAATGCCCTTTCCGAGGCTTCTACGGCGTCTGAATAGGCAGCTCGAGCACCCAACTTAAGTCTTTTCTTCGCTTCCCTATTGTGTCCACCACCCCCGTCCCTTTTCACCATGTATTATGGGAGGAAGCTGCACCACATAGCTGGAGAGGGACAATGGCAGAGCGAAGAGCATGGCTGAAAGCGAGGTGCAGGTGTGCAAGTTTAGTTAGTGTCACTGTGTGGGCCTCCAATGTGACTACAGAATTGCCCAACGAAATACTGTGCGCACGACAAGGCACGAATGGGGTCCTCGAGAGACCACCCGAGGACTGTTAGTGTCTTTGCAGCGTACATAGGCCGACGACAAGAGAAAAGACACTCCTGAAGACAGCCCGCAGACCAAAATTGGTGTCGTGTCTCTCTAGTGTAAACGTGCCTTTATGAGTCGCCTTTTCAGTCAGTTCACATTCGCATTAGCCGCGTTGATTTAAGCGAGGCAGATAACTATTTGGTTAATCGAGCTACGATTCCATCCTCATCAAACGTTCTCCTCTCATCTCCCAACTATTTTCTCAAACTAACGTAATTCTTTTAAGTGCGTGTTTCGTTCTTGACATACTGCACAAGATATATATATACGCTCATTCACGACCACCTCAGTCAAGCGAAAGTTCATTTTGGAAGGTCAGTATAGGCCCACTTAAGAATGTCTGCCATGTAAATATTGCCAACACATCTCTTTTACTAAAACTAAGAAAATATCTGTCAGTGTCTTTTTGAAATGAAATATTTCGCATTCAATTCAAAATTAGCGAGTCAGTTTCTCGAATCTCGAAATTTGGTTTAGAGTTATCGCCATCCGATCATCCCCTAGCTTATATTCAACGCAGAGCAGCGATGCAGTTGCATATTCCAGTTCAGTGTTGTTCTCCGTCTTTAGCGTTGCAAAGTGGTGAATTTAAGCATTTGACAAAGATATATACGCTGTACCAAACAAAAAGTCGCTCGCAACTCATATGTGTAGGGACTGCACAATGTTTGCCGCATAAAGCATTGGCACCAGATTATGATCCCCCCCGTATAACGTTTTCTTCGGGCTAGGCTGAAAGGCTCTCCAACCGACACCGCTGTCCCTTATTACGCGCGTCCACTTGAATAGTTCGCAGCAAAACTACACAGAGAAACTTAGAGGCCATCTATCTTCTGCTTCATTTGAAACCTGATGACAAGACTGAGTTAAGGGATGACCATTTCGATAATTTATTTCGTGTGCACACACTCGCTAAGTACATACCACTGGGTTATTTTGCTGTTTGCTGCAAGGTGGCAAGGCCAAACAGTAAGAATTATGAGATAAGGTTCTAGTCCTTTACTACACTCCATTGAGTCCTTCGAGCTTGTTCAGACGTATCCTTTCGCTTTTCTTTATCTTGAAACAACGCCGTACAACGTATGCGCGTGTATTGTTTGACTAGAGCTATACGAGAAAACTTATCTTTAAATATGAGGACATAACAAACTATGTGTGCACATACAGCAAAGGCAAACGCATACAACGAGTTGCGGCGTCTTGAGAACTTTGACTAATGAAGGTTTTAATGAAGGACTCTAAACAAACAATGCTACAAAGAATACGCGATCAATCTACGTCGCCCTCGCTTTGCACACACACGTCTAATGACCCTTTGGTGCAGCTTCGTTTGCAGAGGCGTTCGCGGTACTCCACGTGCGATAGCCATAGCGGCGTCGTTTAACAATGCGTGACATTGGTGAACCTCGGCCAAGGCGTCACGTAACGCTCCCTTATCAGAGTGAATGAACCTTACCTGCAAGTCGTCCACACTTTATCAGGATCTGAAGGATAAAAAGCAAGCGCGGAATGCAGAGCTCTTGCATCGTATATGATAACTTTGCCAGACAGCTACATCTGTTAGTACGAGCGCAGCACCGGCCCTTCGTATGTGTCGTGTATGCGAGTGTAATCAAACCCGCATGAGCGAGTTGATTGAGACGAAAGTACAGTTGACAATACTGCACCTCCTTACGCACTTTTAATAATGTAATAGTGAATCATTAGCAATACTGAGACAGGGAGTGAATGGACGGTGTGATGCATAATCGTGCACAAGACTGCCTTTCAGGAGGGGGGGGGATGAAGGTTCGTCGCAGCACCCCCTTCCCTATTATGTCAATGTATGGGGCGGACTTTGCGCTTTGCGTCACCGTCTGAAGTGAACCACCTGCCCCCCCCCCCCCTCTAGGCGTGAGGATTATGCCTTCAGTAAAGATGCGTGACATGTGTAAAAACTTAAAAAAAAAAGAAGCAGAAAAAAACTAAAAAGCGACACGAAAGTAGAAGCCGCAAAGGTGGAGTTACCGTTAACGTCTTAATAAATGTCGGCGACTGCATAAGCACACACATACTCTAAGGTGTACCATGTTCAGAAATGTCACTTAAGCCATTTTTCCCCCTGCCTTTCTCATTATTCACTTACGCGAGCAGAAAAATGAATACGGTTGCAACACTTTGGTGACACTGTTGCCAAGAAGGTATAGCAACCACATTCAGGCTCGGAGGGCGAACCACATGAACAGCATAGACGGCCACAGTTGCGCAGTGAAAAATCGCACTTCCTTCGTGGGGTGCCGTTATCTTTCTCACACAACAATCTATAAGGCGAGCAAAATAATGCTGTTTTCCGTAAATACACGTATTAACATGCAAATTACATGCACGAGTGATATTATTTTTCCGGGACTCGCAGTGCGTCAACTGCAGATGGGGTTGAAGCTTCTTCTGTCTTTAGAAGCGCTCGACTAAGAGGACCGTACAGTTGCATGCAAGTAGATTCGAAATGCACGCTGCAATTGCACGTGCAGGTCCTAAACGATATTCAGAAGGACTGACCGAGGTCCAGAGTCAGGTTGACCAGGTTCGGGTACTGGATGCCCTCGAGCATGGTCTCGCTCTGCCACCAGGTCGTGTTGTCGTTGTTGTTAAAGTCGGTCAGGAAGTCGGGCGGGTGTGCCAGGTGCGGTTTGGTGTCGTCGCAGACCTCGCATGTCTTGGTGGCGCCGGGCACGTCCGTCTGTGGGCAGTACTTGGTGGGGCCGCGCAGGCCGCACGTGTTGGTCGCCTCGACGCGCACGTTGAACGCCGCGTTGATGAACTCCGGTATGCAGCGCTGGGCGCGGTTGTATCGGTCGTAGCATGAGCCTCGGGGTGATGGGCGGCCCTGGGGCTGGTGGTAGTAGTGGTGCTGAGCGCTGACGACGCCCGCTAGGACCACGACCAGTAGGACCGCGAGGAGTGCCTCGCCGGTAGCAGACGAGCGAGCCATCCTTCTGCCGTTGTAGCTGCGGCCGCTATGGCTTCCGAGTCGCGTCTGCGGCTCTTGAAGGGAACTCCTCGCCGGCCTGCGTTGTCCGACGCCCCGTAAAGCCGAGGCAAGCCGGGAAGGGAGAAAGGAGCCCGGAGTTCACCGTGAGAGGGCGTGGCGGTAGTGTTGTGGGGACTGCGGTTCCAGGAACGCGATTAGAAGAGAGAGCCCCCTCCCCCGTTCGGTGTCGAGTGGAGAGCCGCCCGCTTCCGCCGCTCCGCGCGTCTGTTCAGCGGCATCTCAGCACCATCGGCACAACTATCGGTCGGCAGTTTTGTGCAGCCAAAGATAACCTTGCACACGCGACAAGCTCACATTGTGATGCCGTGTCATCACTCCAAACTTTCGTGCTGCAGTCAAAAACAAGAGCATCAAAGCATTCGATTTCCTAGAGACAGTGAAGAGAGGACTTACTCATGGGATGCGAGCTTTTTTTATACCCTATCGACAGCCTGATTTCTTCGCGGTGTACTACTCTGATCCCGATCAACATTCACGAAATGTTCCTTATGGGATGATGTGTGTGGGTGAACATTGTAATGCCAGAAGCTTCGAACGTTCCCCTCCTGAAGGAAACATATGCACTTACATCGAATGAAAAAAAGAAAAAAAAGGCAAATGATAGCATTACTATATTATTCACTTATCTTGGTTTCCGTGTTCAAAACCGAACCAGCCTGTATACCAGCGGCAGATTTGTTCCTTTTTCAGCGAGAACCAAATAGCACCTCCTTACGCAGTGCGCCTCGTTAGCGGTGCACGCAACTACAGCGGCGGCCGAGTAGCGGCGTTCTTCTGTCGCCTGGGGCAGATGGAGAACAGGAGCGGTGAGGGGGTGACGGGTCTGTTGTTTCGGCACGGAAGGACGCGTATGGTCGCGTATGGGATGGTGCGGTTTGCCGCCATCCTCGACCTTTGTCCCGCCGCAGGCGTCCAGACGAATGGCTCAGCTTCCGTCGCCAATCGACGGCGGGAGAGCGGCTGCTACCAGCGCGTCCAGCCTGCCGGAAAAACGAGAAGCTGCGCGCTCTCCTTTTTGCGCTGCACAAGACCCCTACACCATCATGCGCTACACCGAGTGGTGCGCGGTTGGTGGCTCCATTGAGGGGCTCGAAGCAACGAAGTGATCGCGTCCAGGTCGGCCCTGATGCGCCTGTCAAGGTATATGCAGTACAACCCTGTGATAAACTGCCGATGGGCGGTGACACTATTGCCTGAATGTTGCATTGTTTTTGGAGTGGTTACTTAGGGAGAGAAAGCAGCTTCGCATATCTACGAAGCTGGTTCCTCTTGGATAGCGAGTGGATTGTATAATAATACCAACAGTAATAATACGAGCGCTGCTGCATAAGGATTGTGGATGTTAATGTATGTAGATTCACGTAGCTAACAGAGTGTATATGCATTTGCAAGAATATGACCATTTGAAACATAGAAGTTTACCTTTTCTGAACGGTTTCATTCGACAGCGTACATCATAAGTGGGCATCGATTTGTAGAACACCATGGCTGAAGTTATTATAGCAGGTTCTGCAATGGAGATGCGGGACATTACTGGCGGGAAAGTGCTTGTGAGGTTGGTTCAGTTTTATTTATGGAAGTTTAAACAGTTGGCATATTTTGAGGCATTAAACTTCCTTTTATTCGACTCACGTTGTGGTAAAACTACGAGGCGCAGTGATTGATTGATTTGTGAGGTTTAACGTCCCAAAACCACCATATGATTATGAGAGACGCCGTAGTGGAGGGCTCCGGAAATTTTGACCACCTGGGGTTCTTCAATGTGCACCCAAATCTGAGTACACGGGCCTACAACATTTCCGCCTCCATCGGAAATGCAGCCGCCGCAGCCGGGAATCGAACCCGCGACATGCGGGTCAGCAGCCGAGTACCTTAGCCACTAGACCACCGCGGCGGGGCAAGGCGCAGTGACCTTATTTGTTCTAGGTGGTTTCGAAATTCAATGTACTTGCGGTGCTCCGTGCTGGGATTCCATGCCCTGCCTTGACTGTAGCCATTGCGCGTCGTCGCCGAATGCTGTCCAATAAGCACCATTAAACTCTCAGTAATAGCCCACTGCCTATCAGACTACCGCTACGGCGTTTGGGAATAAAGAGTAGTTAGCCATCCGAGCATGAGGGTAATTAGAATCACTACCGTGCCAACTGCTGCTTTTGCGCTTGCGTCTTAGTCATCTAAAGGGCACGTATCGAATGTTACAAATACAGGCTAAATGAAAATACATGTGTGACCGTTACTGAGTGGACTGAATTTGAAACCCTGCTACAATTGGCACAAAGCAAAGCAACTGCCAACACTATGCTCGTGGATTCGACCCAGACACACAAAAATAAGAACACCGCCTGTCAATACAGGAAAATGCAATACTAGGTGCAGCACTCCCCTCGCACTAGCTAAGCAATATCTTCAATTGACACAGCTGTAGGACTTCCTCCTCCTTATTGCACTTTACCTGATTTGTATTACACTCACCCTCACACTGGGGCGTACGAATCTCTTGCTCCCCCCCCCCCCCCCCCCCAAGATAAAATCCTGGTTAGTTGAAACGCACCTGGTGTCGGTCTTTGAAGGGCGACCATTATACCAGAGACCCGAGGACAAGTTACGCGTTCCTAATAGTAATATTATAATCAATGACAATCGCTTTACAGAGCATTTGTACAAGTTAATCACTGAATTTTGCCTAAAATTATTTACTGGGTACCCAGCCAGACCTTTATTAGCCATGCCATATGAAGGCTGTCATCAAATTATTTGTAGAGTCTTGACTGTTCAATGAGCAAGATTCCAGGACACTTATGAACATTTATTTCTTTATTAAAGCATGAAAAACGATGAAGCTTGCGCTAAAGTGCCCAAGTCTTGAAGAACAGCGAAGTTGGGTGATTTTCTATTCTTGGTGTCGTTGATGCCAGGTTGCGCATTCTATAGTTCGGAACTCACATTGAAAACTAGTGTTCTTACCACCGACTGAAGCTCGAGCACGTCGTAATTCGACTTCTCAAATGTTCGGTTTTTCCCGCATTCAATCTCCCGATCTCTCTCTCTCACTGGCCGCGGTCTTGGACTCGTCATCGCAGTCTTTTTTGTGCTCTACACTTTAAGAAAAAAAGGTGGTAGTACTTGCTAACTTTGGGGTAGTAATGGTTTGTCACATATGTTACAACCCTTGTAGTAAGCGCTGTTAGTAACGGTGAGGGTGGTAACAGTTACTACCCTTGCTGTTGCTACCAGCACTTAGTAAGTGTTACTACCCAAGCCGTTACCCCCCATGGGTAGTAACTTTCAAAGGTTTGAAGAAAAAAAATGTGACCGATACTACCTTGTTTATTTATTTTGGCATATATTTCTCCTCCGTTAATGTTCGCGAATTAATGTCTCATCACTATAAAACTTCGGGCAATGAAGCGTGGTGTGTCATGAACACGAAGAGTATACATAGACCTAACGAGTTCGCTATTTTTCCCGCACACACGCTGTATAAAGTACGCATGTGGTATATATAGACCCTACTTTGCAGGGGCATGTCTGGCACAAGGGAGCACTTGTGTTCCAGGATGAATTATAACAAATCTAAGTCAATAGCACTATATTATACTACCTGCTGACGTATGTTTAGGGACGTAGCACAAGACTTTCAATCAGCCTTACTTATAAAAAATTGTATGGCATTGTCAAACACTTCGGGTGAGGCCCCGCCGATCCAACATCGACGTGCGGCAGACTCGCAGGCTTCCACTTTACGCTTCGGCCTGCGACGCCTGAAACGCCTCGAAGTGGCACATTTCAAATTTATTTGCAGGTCGGTCGACCCGTGCGGGGTTGCACGTGTGGCGATGTGTGGGCCTGACCGACGCACTCATAGAGCAGACACGGAGATTTGATTACACACAAACACGCATTTAATTAAAACAGGGGCAAAGGCAGGAGTTAACAAAAATAGCAGAGAAATAAAACTGATACGCAATGGAAAAGAACAGCTACAAAACAAGAAATGCTTTAAAAGAACACCACAAGAGGTACAGACAAAAAACAAATACGCGGAATAATAATAAAAGAACAACATGATGGAAACTAAAGGAGATACAAGAAAAATTACAGGAAAAAAGATCATGGTCGCGCTTTTGAATTTTAACGTGTGACGCAGCGCACACAACTACACATATTTAAAAAAAAGGCTGGTTATAATTAATTAACAGTTAAAAAAAGTCACAGTAAAAAGTTCCATACGGACCAGGCCAGCTCTTGGTGCACGTACGGGAGTTGACGGGGTGTCACTGAAGGTCTCGCCGGCTTGGTAGACGACGAGGGTGCCCGGAATTGCAACCGTCTCAACACGTTGCGCGGGTCACTCCATGCTCGCCACCTACGCGAGACTCGCGACACCGACGACCGCTCTTCTTCCTGGCTGTGTGTCAACTGCCTATTCCGATGCAGTCCAAACCTTTTCAGGGGCGTGTGCGTGCTCCCATCCTACCTGGAGGAGGAGGAGGAGGAGGAGGAGGAGGAGGAGGAGGAGGAAAGAACTTCATTCAGAGTGCGGCGAGTAGATGGGGTGGGCGATTGGCCCCGCCTAGGTTACGGCCAGGAGTCCTTGAATCCTGGCGGCTTCCTCGGCCCGCTGGACGGCCTACAATTGGTCTTCGAGGACGGAGCTGATCGTTGCGGCTTCCCAGCGCGCGCGAAGGCTGTCAGCAGAGGCCGCATACTTGTTATGAGTACTAATCCCTCTACATTCCCATAGCATATGCTCCAGAGTGGCTCTGGAGTCGCAATGCTTGCACCTGTCCGTTTGGTAATTTCCTTTTTTTTTTAGACCGCCCGTGCCCCTTTCGGTACAGGTGCAGGGAAGACGAGCCGGCGCCACGCTGGGTCGTTAGTCGCCGGATGTCGTCCTCCCAACACAAAAGCACCCTTCCTCGGAAGATGGGGCCCGCGGACGATCCGAAAATGGGAGTCGTTTGTGACAGACATATTTATCTATTATAAAAGGGTCACAAAAGCATTATAGACAGTGGCCGAAACAAGGTTATGAACTTCTTCTCAGTG